ATTGTGTTTTGCGCTTTTTTCGTTGTTATCGCTTTATTCTAGAGTAGTTCTATCGATTTCCCGTCAAAAAAGGGTACCCTAACTTTTTTGTGAATGGTGCCTTTAACGCACCACATCACACGTTCAAGAATCCTTACTATTATATATGTGAAGTGCACACGTCAGTCTGTCGGTCTGTCACGAAATTCTGTACTACCTGAAGAAGCACCTGGAGAGGTCGGATCAAGTTTGGGTTGGTTTGGGCTCGAGGCAAGACCAACACAGCACACGTGGGCTCAGCGGAGCTCCGCCCACAGGGGGCGAGACATGCGCAGAAATGGGCGGTGTCTCAATGCGTGCAAAGCGTCTGAATTAGTATCAATAACAGCCCAGACGCTGGGAAGAATGAGCAAAGGTGAGGGATGTATCAGCTAGTGAACTGAAGGAGACTCACCGGTAGTGGGCGGAGCAATCTGAAAACTTCTGTACTTTCCACATAAGTTCATAACTCGATTCATTGGAAGCGTGGTAGCCAGAAAAAAATGAAAGGGGTGAACAAGGTTTTATGAGTGTTGGGCATATGAGAACATGTCAAATTTCCTTTTCACTGTAGGCAGAGGGTGCATTCAAGTGTTAGGTGCTCTTTGAAAAAAATATGACCCTGTTTAACCCTTTGACGACAACGCGGCTTTTTGCGTGTCTGGCGCGCGGGACAGNTTAAAAACGTTCTAGAAAAGGGAAAATACGTGGTTGGAGGCTACAGAAGAAATGTGACCAGACCGGAGTGGGCGGGGCTGAGATCAAAATTTTATAGCCCTGTTCAGAAACGTTCTAGAACGTGGAAAGAAGTGGCTAGAGGTGATAACAGAACGTGGCGGAACCTAGAAGTGGGCGGGATTTGTACTAAAATGGGACTTAGATCAAAATTCATAACACTTTTCAGATACGTCCCATTTTAGAACGCGGGGAAGAAAGTGGTTGGAGGTAGCAGAAGAAATGTTATCGAATCCTTGAATTAGGCGGGGTTCGCACTAAAAAACGCGGGGATAAGAACAAAAATTTATAACTCTGTTTAGAAACATTCTATAACGCAGGAAAAAAGTGGCTAGAGGTAATAAACAAAAGTGATCGAGCCTTAAAAGTGGGCAGGGTTTGCACTAAAGTGGGCGGGGCAAAGATCGAAATAGGAACTAGAGGACTTTACTCAACAATTAAATTGTTCTGCCCTTATTCTTTGGCTCCACTTTAAGGCCCCTCGTTTTTCTTCTTTCAGAGCACTTTCTTCTTGCTCTTGTCAACAGCAACTGTCTCAGAGTCCTGCTTTTATAGTGTATGGAACATCCCTGGGTGTATTCAAATAAATAAATAAGAATTGTATGGGTTTGTGTGCCTCATAGGGTCATAGTATAGGCAGGAAGGCTAGATCAATTTCCCATTGTTATTGATGTAGCCGTATCCAACACCTCCCCCTTTAAGATGGGCGTTCCGGGCGTGCGGCTTCTTCTTAGGGTCGGCTACCAATCGTTGTGGCTTACGGCGTGATCTGACTCGAGGTTGTCTTGTAATTTTGTTGATTGCAGTTGCAGATGATGTCGCTATCTCGAAAGTGTTGTTCGTAGGTGAAGAGGGGATAAGGTTGTGACTGTAGGTAAATTCTTTGGTTTCCTTTTTTGATAGTAGAGTAAGCGGGCATGCAGAAACTAACTTTCTGCAGAAACTTCTAGAGCTCCAGCCAGCTTTTAGTTTCCCTTCATCTTCTCGAGAACGCCCCTGAAGGTATTGAAGAAGCCTGTCCATTAGAAATGCGAATTGGACGATTGCGACCACAGACATTGTATATCGTTTTTGCTACAGAATTCCCTTAATTTCTTGGACCTGTGGTCTACTGTTCGACCACTGTCTCTGGTAGCACCCGCTTGGTAGTAGACATTTGGAAAATCTCTGGATATTATGAATAGGATGACAATGAAGTGCGTCTCCCCATCTATGGGTGCCACGAAATTGGTGTGCCCGTAGTTCTATGGCTTGTCCCTCAATGACCCATAAAGAGGGTCCGACAAGTATGCATACCTTTTGCGAAGTTAGTGGTTTGCTGAGGTCGCTGAATGACTTGTGGCTTCCGACTTCTTTGCCTGCTTTCCACTTCGGGAAGAATCAAGCTATATTCCGCAGGGATGTTCCCAACTGACTGTGTTTCCTGGTCGCATTTGATGTTTTCATCGATGTCTTCATAATTTATGTGTTAACAAAATGTTATCAGTTTGCTTGCCCTAAGGAAACATCCTGCCGAAGTTGTTTTCATAATGATTTGATTAATTGGAGTGTAAAAATGTTTCTAGCAGGTGCCTGATGTTTACTGGAGACTCATTGTAAAATCGGTTGTCACAAAATCTGTTCATCATTCACTTCTCCCTGAAACAAACTTTTTCTTTTCCTGAGAAGTCATCCCGGAACCTTCCGTTGAGAATTGTTGAAGGGAATTCACCGTGAACATACTAGAGCAAGCAACTCTAACCATGCACTTCTCTTATGGCTTCAGGAATCAGATCTAACTGCTTCTGCGCCACGAGTTCCTCCACATATTGAGAAAGGGGCTCAGCAAAAATTTGACAGCTCAGTCTGCCATGTTCTGACTCACCCGCTGTGATCGTCAGATCTCACACCAACGGGCTGCCATGTGCTTTTGTCGCCACAATTTCATCCTGAACGTAATTAGCTCGAAATCAACCCTAAGAACAAATGCACAAGTTTCTCTCCTCGTATTTCCAAGGACTTCTACAAAAGCGGTTTCTACAACTTATCAAGTCAGCAATATTTAGTTGATCATAATTATTTATGTATTTGCTAAATGTTGACTGTTCTGAGGAAGAAAAAAACTTTACTTTTTTCAAATTGTTCAAAAATGCGCCCCGTATTCGCCTCGCATTCAAAATCGTAGTGGCCTTTTGAATGTGTATGTTGTCTATACAATGACTTGCAGTGGTTAGCTGTTGTACTAGTTAACGCTTTTATTCTCCCATAGGAGTTTGGTACCAATCAAATGACCCAGAGAGGTGGAAGGCTCCGTTGGTTTCAACGAATATTGATCCGGGTTCGA